AGCCAGCCAGCCCACCCCATGGCCATCTACTACCCAAGCCCAACCAGCCAGCCCACTGCCAGTGAGCCACTTGGCTACCGACCACCCAGCTCACCAAACAGCCACCTAGTTGGCCTTTAAGCCCACCAGCCAGTTGGCCAACCCACCAGCCAAGCAGCTGGCCAGTCACCAACTGGCCAACCAGCCAGCCAGCCCCGTGGCTAGCCAGGCAGCCCACTGGCCAGCTCCAGGGTCATCACCTCGGGATTGGTCCATGGGGTCTTCCCTTGCTCCCATATTGATCCGTGCTGGTGCTGCATCTCCCCGGGCTTCCGCAGCCTGGAAAACTTCTTAATTCCTCTTCTTAATAACCTCTGCCTCCTAACAAGGTGGTTGGAGTGGCCCTTCTTAGGGATGGAGGTGACACAGGCCTGGAGGTGACACAGGCCTGGAGGTTGGTGGCTGGGGTGGCTGGTGTCCTCTCCTGAGGCCAGCGGACAGTCTGGACAGAGGCTCCCATTGCCCCAGGGGTCCTGCCCAAGGACTGGACACCTCCTTCCCTGTCCACACCTGAGTGTTCCCCTCCCATGGCCCCTTCAGACCCCACCCTGGGGACACACAAGGGTTTTGGGGGCAGTTTGTGAATGGCTACTCCCTCCCCAGGCCGACATCGGGGTCGTATGTTGTGTCCAGCTCCGAGTGCTAATTACAGCTGAGCCCAGGTAATTACAGCCACCCCTGGGCTGAGCCCACCCAGGCTGACCCCCAGCTGGCGGGGCCGGGTGGAGGGTGTTGGGGGCACAATGTCCCTGTGCCCCTGGCCACGCATGGTCCTGTGGGCAGAGTGAGAGGGGAAACTGAGGCACAGCCCAGCCCCACAAACCCCCTGCCCGGCTGCCCTCGCCCTTCCCCAAATCCTCCTCCAGGAGCCCCTCAGAGAGCAGCAGGTACAGCCGCCCCCCGGCCAAACCCGCGCCCCCGGAGCACCGACTGCCCCCCCTCTGCTGTGGGCGTCCCCCGGCACCGCCCCCCGCCCGCGCTCCGCGCTGCCAAAGCAAACAGCCGGGATCGATTGTGCGGGAGCTGCTGTTTGCTTAACCTTTGCAGAGGAGCGGTGGCGGCGAGCGGGGCCGCCGCAGCCACTGCTGCAGCCGCTGTCACCACAGCCCCTGTCACCACAGCCACTGCCACCACAGCCCCTGTCACCACAGCCACTGTCACCACAGCCACTGTCACCACAGCCACTGCTGCAGCCCCTGTCACCACA